TGTTGGTGTTGGGGCGGTGCTCATGCAGAAACAACACCCGATTGCCTTCCTTAGTCAAGCTCTTGTTCCTCGTCAGCGCGCCCTGTCAACTAATGAAAAAGAATGCTTGGCGATCTTGCTTGCGATGGACAAGTGGTGCTCCTATCTTCTCCTCTCAGAGTTGACTATCCGTACGGATCATCGGAGTCTGGCATGCTTGGATGAGCAGAAACTGACAACCCCCTGGCAGCACAAGGCGCTCACAAAACTGCTTGGCCTCCAGTACTGGATTGAATACAGAAAAGGGGCTACCAATTTGGCTGCCGATGCTTTATCCCGCCAACCGGTTGCAACCATTCGAGCCATCTCAGTGTGTGTACCAACCTGGCTCGAATCAGTCAAACAAGGTTACTTATTGGACCCCGATTGCGCAGACAAGTTGACTCGTGCAGCAGCAGACACGGCTCTCACGGGGCCATTCCAGGTCATTGGGGGGCTGATTCGATACAAGGGGCGTGTGTGGCTCGGCAATAACATGACAGCACACCAACAGGTCTTGCAGGAGTTGCACGCTGGTCCCATAGGGGTCCATTCCAGAGTTCAAGCCACTTACAACAGGATTGTTCAACGCTTTGCGTGGCCGAAAATGAAGCAGACTGTCAAAAGATTCATTGCTCGCTGTGCAGTGTGCCTTCAAGCCAAGGCCAAACACGTGAAGTACGTAGGGTTGCTGCAGCCGCTTCCAGTTCCAGAGCAGGCATGGGAAATGGTTACCCTTGACTTTGTGGAAGGATTGCCCACCTCCAAAGGTTTCAACTCCATTCTGGTGGTGGTGGATAAACTCACCCGACACGCCCATTTCATCCCTCTGCGTCATACATTCTCGGCGTTACAAGTGGCGAAGGCCTACATGGAGAATGTGTTCAAACTGCATGGGCCACCAGACAAGATGGTGTCAGATCGAGATCGAATCTTCACCAGCAAGGTATGGAAGGAACTCTGTCGTTTGACCCGTACAACCCTCAACATCTCTTCTGCTCGGCATCCGCAAACAGATGGCACCACCGAGAGAGTAAATCAGTGCATGGAGTTATATCTCCGATGCTTTGTCCACAACTGTCCTAGCAAGTGGGCTGAATGGCTAGCACTCGCGGAGTTCTGGTATAACACTTCTTATCTTTCCACCTTGAAGTCTTCTCCATTTGAAGTGCTATATGGCCACAAGCCCCGGTTCTTTGGCATCACCAATGTGGCTGAAGTTTCTATTACTGATCTGGCGGCATGGACCAAAGACAGAGCTGCTATCATGGCCTCATTGAAGCAACACCTACATCGAGCTCGACAAGTAATGAAGAGCAAGGCAGACAGGAAGAGATCTGATCGCGTGTTCACTGATGGGGACTGGGTGTACCTCAAGCTTCAACCATATGCTCAATCCTTGGTGGCGGCACGGGCTAACCACAAGCTGTCATTTCGCTATTTTGGTCTGTTTCAGGTCATTGGACGAGTGGGCGAGGTGGCTTATCGCTTGAAGCTGCCGGAACAAGCAAAAATTCACCCAGTCATACATGTATCGCAACTCAGAGCTGGTATTCCTCCTTCAACGCCGGTGATGCCTGGACGAGTGGGCGAGGATCTACTTCCATTGCAAGTCCCGGAGGCGATTCTGCAGCGCCGCTCCATCCAGCGTGTCAGCCGTCAAGTGTCTCAGGTGCTGGTTCATTGGTCGGGGTTTCCGGCCTCTCTGGCAACCCGGGAGGATGAAGTACCGCTCCGTTCGCGGTTCCCTTGAGCTTTGGCTTGGGGACAAGCCAAGGTTAAATGGGGAGGAATGTCACGAGAACTACTGCCGTGACTAGTCTGGAGCAAGGCCCAGCCCAGCACGACCGACCCAGGAGAAGCCCCAGGCCCAATACGCGCGTCCAAGGCCCAGAGTGGACCCGGTGAGCTGTATAAGTACAACGAGTGGAGTGTGGTTAGGGCATCGTTGGATCACTGTACCGAACGGCGCCGTTGGGCGATGTATCCTTCCTCCCACCTCCTGGCTCTCCTCCCCGATCCCCCTCTTTCTTAGGAACCCTAGCTACAATTGGGCCTGTAATCGGAAGGATTGAGAGTAGATCGAGTGGTTGAACCCCAAGATTCGTATCAAAATCTCCTATCTGTCTATAGATTCTTGGGTGGATTAAGAATGTTGTAATGTATAACTCATTTGAAACTTTATGCCCCTCAATATTTTTTGTTCCAAAGTTGGAATGGAAGACCACAAACCAACAAACATGTAAACATTAACATGAATATCCTTGCATGTAATCTGCTTTCTTTGGACACTCCTGGCCTGATTACGGCATGAGCATAACTTAGGTTTGTCTTGGCGCTTGTGAAACAATTTGTATATATATTTGACTTTCTATATATCCTTGCTATATATCTTTGTATATGCCTCGATCGATTTGCACCTTTCGGAAATCGATCTCGACTGAACAAAATCTCAGTACATGTAGAATTAGCAAAACTTTACTTCTATGTGGAAATTAGTATGATGATCATTGAATGGAGGTATATACATACATCTTATAATGAAATGTACGCTTCGAATTAAGATTCAGCAATTCTGTGACTTGTCATGAAGTAGTTTACTACACCAAACCATAGTTTTCTATCCAGTATTTTTCTCTTTTGTGTTATTACTTACTACTGGTTGGAACACCTGGTATTTCGGAAGGAATGGGAAAACATCTATGAAGTAACTTGTTTTAGTCCATTTTATATCTCTATAGTTTATCTTCCAGTTATGTTTGGCTTTCATTTCCATTTATTTATAAGCCTACTGATTATTGTATCGTTGAGAAGTATGGGCAAGGCAACATGGTCCATCTTGGTGGAAGCCTTGCCATTCTCTCCACGACATACTGATGTTATGCAAGTTTCCAATTTGAGAAACACCTTGTTCTATTTTTTTATTGGAGGTAATGGGTGAAATTATGCCATATATGCAATATTCAATTTTCATGACCTTGATGTACGAAGTGAGAACTTGCTTACAACCTGAGTGTTGTCCATTCAACCGTAGGGTGACAGTCAACAAAACTTTGCCCACAGGTGCAAAACAGATGGTTGGTGTGCATTACCTATCAATCAGATGCCTATTGTGCATTACATATCAATTAGAATTGTGAGTTCATTTCATCCTATTTCAGAGTAACATAGTATATGTTGGGGTCTTGACTTACAAAGACTGCTTTTGTTGTATATATCCCCGTTTTATTGAGACACATAGTATTGGCTGATCAAAATAATTGTCAAGTATGAATTGTATGGTTATCTGCGGAGCGGTGGTGCTATGCTGTTATGACTCTGCACTTCTTTACTCTCAAAGAACTAGAATTCGCCTCTTCTATTAATCTCTAATACATATATCATCTTTACAAACTTATCCTGCATGTTTTGGGCCTCTATACTTACAAATGTTCCTATCATTCATTTGAAAAAAATATACCGACGCGGCAACGTGTGCCATCATGGTCTAGTATATAATTACACAGAGACATCTAGGAATGTATTGCGTGCGTCAAGATAAAACCTTGTTTGGTCACCATGATACCGATCATAATATGTACATAATGATAAATGGACCATGGCACTAAAAAAATACTTACATCATGAAGAAAACTTTTTATGCGTAGTGATTCAATGTAATGGCACATGTGCAATTTTTGAATTAAATTTTAATGGCATGAATAAAGAAAAGTCCTCTCGGACATGGTAGATATTGTATGGTTGCTTCAACTCACCACTTTTTTACGTCTATTGTCATTTTCGCGATAGTAACCAATATCATCAAGTTTTCATGATCTAGGTACCTTTGTAACCGAACATTGGTCGTCCCTCACATGTTATGCCATCGATCGCTAGTTACAACAATTCGGAAAACATTAGGAGACATATAACTAGTTCAGATAGATGCAGTTGTCACTTCGACGTAAATATTATTTACGCTTGTCATCTACACTAAACTTTGATTTCTTAAGGGAGCTACAAGGGAGAACACAACCCACAAATATTTAGCACATAGCATTGCCACCATTTTCCCTATATCGTCGTAATCCACATTGACTACTATATATAATTATATGATTATGTTAATGAGGATGAGATGTAAACAGATAAGTAAAAGCTGAAGCATAAAAGGCATCCAAAGAAAATAGCAATGGATCTAGCCAGTCAAATTAATGACTTGCTCCAAATGAGAAAAGGAAATAAAAGGTATCTAATGAACTATTACTACATCCCATCAATCATATCACGTAAAACTTAATGATCTCACAATAATCGAAACAATTTAATATTTTCTCACAAAAAAGAAACAATTTAATATTCAACATCCTGGAAAGCGAGAGGCAAATGAAAGGTATCTAATGAAACTATGCCTGGATCTAACCAGTCAAATCAAGTAAGGCATTTGATTGATATAAAATATTAACTAAAATTAATCAAAAGGTGGCATTTCCACATAAGAAAGGTAAAAAAAGGAAATACATGAGAGTAATAAAGAGAAGGAAGGGTAGTCGTCCATTTCCAGCTACAGCCAGTGAAAGGACAAAAGAAGAAATAAATGAGGGCCATAAAAATATGGAATGGCAGCCCTCCATTTCTAGCTATAGCCAATGAATTCGTAATCAAATTCTCCTATATATACCACACCAACTCAACCCCAATCTCCATCCATTACCACATCACCCTCATTTTTCCTCTCATCGCTTAGCCTTTCTCCTCCCTACTAACTGAACTCCTTGCCGTTAGTAGCCATGGCGGCCGCGGAGTCGAACCAACTCAGCACCCTTGTGGCCAACATGTTCACTGTGGTGAGCTATGTACAATTCCGATGACATTTGTGTGGATTCTAGTTTCTGCCAAGGTGGATGTGTAACAAAATATTAATTGCCGAATTACGATGTTTTTTCTTTTGTTTTTCTTTGGTGGGTTAGGGTTTACTAGACGATCAGTTCCGGCAGCTTGAGATGCTCCAAGACGAGAGCAACCCAGACTTCGTTGCCAAGGTTGTCATGCTTTTATGCGAGGAGGGTGAGCATATCATTGGCGAGCTCGCCAAGCAATTGTATGTTGCCATGTCATGTGATCTGATCATTAGTGTAGGGTGGTTTGATTTGGCTTCTTACTTTGGCATTCGGTTTATGTTTGTGCAGGGACCAACCATGTGTGGACTATGGCAAGGTGGACACATTTGTGGATCAACTCCGGGGAAATAGTGCATGGTGAGGCCGCTTTTCTTCTTCTTCCATGTCCTCTTCGTATGTGTTTGTGCAGTAGTATGTATCAGGACTATAGTAGTTTTTTGTGTCCTGGCATTAACAGTAGGTATTTAGATCCTAGCTATATCCATCGTAGGGCATCCTATAATGTTGGGGGAGAATTATTGTCTGTTCTCATCATTATAGTGTTTTATGGCAAGGGTGGTCAATTTCTTGAATTGACCGGGCGGCTCAACGAGTATGGATTGAGATAAATATGGGGAGGGTTGATATCAGTTTGGCAAGTTGTAGTAATTTTTCATAGATCCGACAAAAAATATCCATTCCTTACACCCCGTCTAGCTTAACATTTAGCACTTGAGATCTTCCAATTAATTTGGGGAGTTGTTGACATTCGTTTGGTCCTTGTACTGCTGTATGATTTAGATCCAACAATCCATTTTGTCGTTATACTGTTTTATTATATCTATGCCAAAAATCCTTCGGTGTTTTTACTGTTTTATAATTTACATCTGACAAACTGTTCATTCGTAGTACTGTTTTATTATTTAGATCTGATGTATGATTAAGATCTGACAAACCGTTTGACCATTGTACTGTTCTATGATGTAAATTGGACATATAGTTTGGCTATTGTAGTATGATTTGGATCCAAAAAACCTTGGCAGTTGTATCGTTCTATAAATTAGATCCTATAAATATGATCCACTTAGTATAAATCACATAGCTTCATGAGTAGTACTCCAGATCCACCTTGCTAAGCGGTTCGTCCAATTAATTATTCGGAGGTTGACATCCATTCAGCTGTTGTGGTGCTTAATGATTTAAATCCAGCAACATTTACCCTGCAGAGATTAGACGGCTCAAAGAGTAGCACTTCACATTTACCTTCTTAAAGTGGGCTCTTACAATTAATTTGTGCAGGATTATCACCCTCTCCTTTATCATCACAACTTTGCATGACATAGATCCCTTGCCTAATGAATCTAGGTTTAGGTATATTTTTGGTACATGCATATGACTTTTACGGAATCACAGTTTGAAACCATTCGGTCAACACTACTCTATGTAGTGTATCTAACTTATATGTCAGTTATTACAAACTAAAAACTTTCGTTACTGAAAATATTAACTCCTAGTAAATCAATGTTACATATTGCATCCGCTCTATTGATATATCACTTTGCTTACACTGGGCTTTCATAGTTGTATTTAGTTAATTTCATAATTCGGTGGTACATCTATTTGCTTAGGAGCCAGAAGTGAAGGGAAAGAACTACCAAGCTAATTTTCTTTCATTAAATCGATTTTATGGGTCTTTCCTCATTGTATGCTATTGCATGTCACAGTGTTGGTGCTCAGAGAGTGAAGAACACTTGTATTCAGTTCCATGTGTGTTGTCAGGAGAAGAGCAAAGTTGGGTTAGTAACTTGTGCCATCATGTCAAACTATTGTTTTTTCAATCATTTTGCTACTGAAATCTTCGTATTGAATATGATATCCTAGTGTGCTCTACTCATTTACTGGAACATATTTCCTTACTATTAGTGTTATCAGAGTATATATTGACGGAATTGCATGTTCATCGCTTTTGTAATCGGCTGAATGTATCCAGCCATTATGGATGGACATATTTGGCTAACTCCACTGATTTTCTTGGGTTAGGAATATATCTTCTCCATTATAATTTAGTTGATTGTGTCCTTTAGGATTGTTAAGATAATCCTACCAGTGCAGAGTTTTGTTTTTATTGATGTAAATTGTAATGGCCATTAGCATTTGTAGTAGTTACTAATTAATAACATGGCCATGAGCATTTCAAAACGAGCTTCACAACTTACTGATTGTCAGGTGCCTGAAGACACTGGATTCTTTGAGAAATGATTTCTATGATCTGTGCAGCATGTTCATACCGTAGGCTTCAGGTATTTATTTCTTTATCTTGTCTTGAAATCTAAGTAGCGGGTTTTGTGTGTGAGTGAAATCTAAGTAACTTTACAGTAAAATAGAATAGCAATCTGCAAACAATTTTCTTTTTATTCTAAAGTTTGCTTGAAATGAAAAACGTAGAACTAAACAGTAGATATGAGGCTATGGATTCAGTTAGTGTACTGCATTACAACAGAAGATAGACATGTTAATGAAATGAATGTGACTAGTTTGCATGTCAGACATTAAATTACTTGTGCTAATTGTGGAAAACAAACAAGCATGGACAATTTTTTTTCTGTGGCAAGTTTGTACCTAGAGGTACTACTTGGTGTCTAGGACTACCAGAATCTCAGTTGAAAATCTTCGTTCATAGATAACTGTTTTTGGTATATATGACATCTGAATCTTGCCTCATGTACCTCGAAATGGTCACATGTCGCCTCAAAACTTATCACAGGTCACAACATTGATATTTAATGGACTTCATAATTTGCTTTCTTGTCTGGATGATGGCCATAATCTTTATGATTATTTTGTGTTTAACTCTTTGGGTCCTCCTTCTGAGTAAGTTCGTGGTTAGCAAAACTAACATGTTATCTTATTTTCAAATACAGTTGCAGCAGCATGTTCTAAACGGTAGACCAGAGCAATAAAGCAGGAGCGGCATGTTCTGATTGCACATTGTGTTTGATGTCGTAGAACATGCTCAATTTAGCATATATGGTCTGGAGTTGTTTGCTTCTGTGGGGTCTATAGTTCTGTCAAGCGATAAGCTGCTCATCTAGTTTTGATTTTGGTGGTACTGTCCGTAGTTTCATTCGGAATTATTGATGGTCAAATAACAATCATCCGTGATCATTTTGCTGATTATCTGTGGTTAATCTGGTGTCGTGGTTCTAGTCAGTTTCTAGCTCGCAGAAATTCAGTGGCAGTGTATCTCGACAAAATCATGTGTCTTCGGCCGGCGTATGGACTATGGTGGTATATTGTGGAGAACATTGTAATGTTATTTCATTATCAAGTTACGTTTGTTGTTGGGTGACAATGTGCGCACCAAAATAATTTTATTTCTTTATCATATATTTCACCCAACTCCGCCTATGTTGTCTCAACATAGCCGATCCCAAGCCCGGGTAAAGGAGAAGGGTTGTGATAGACTTGGCGAGCCAACGTCAAAACTCGGACACTCTTATGGAGATGAAATCCAAAAGATTTTCGTTGGGCCATAACCCTCTCAGCGATGCGCCACATCGGAACCCGGGTATGGTGGCAAATGGGCAAGGGCCGGCCGGGCCGGCACCCCCCTGGTGGCGCGCTGTATCTTGATCCAGATACGGTGGCAAGTGAGCGGGGATCGGGTCGTTGCATCCTTAGTGGCGTGCTACATCAGCGCCCGGATGTAGTGGAAAATGAGCAAGGGTCTTCGCATTTGACTCGACGAGTGCGAAGGGTAAAGAAGCTAGCCGAGCATAGGAGGATATGTTTAGGTAGCTAGAACGTAGGGTCTCTGACAGCGAAGCTTCGGGAGCTAGTTGATGCAGCGGTGAGGAGAGGTGTTGATATCCTCTGCGTCCAAGAAACCAAATGGAGGGGACAGAAGGCGAAGGAGGTGGAGGACACCGGCTTCAAGCTGCGTTACACGGGGACGGCTGCAAACAGAAATGGCATAGTCATCTTGATCAACAAGTGCCTCAAGGATGGAGTGGTAGACGTCAAGAGACATGGAGACCGGATTATCCTGGTCACGCTGGTAGTTGGGGACTTAGTTCTCAATGTTATCAGCGCATATGCCCCGCAATTAGGTCACAATGAGAACATCAAGAGGGAGTTCTGGGAAGGCCTAGAAGACATGGTTAGGTTTGTACCGATTAGCGAGAAGCTCTTCATAGGAGGAGACCTCAATGGCCACGTGGGTACATCTAACACAGGTTTTGAAGGGCGCATGGGGCTTTGGCTATGGCATCAGGAATCAAGAAGGAGAAGATGTCTTAAGCTTTGTTGTAGCCTATGACATGATTGTAGCTAACACCCTCTTTAGAAAGAGAGAATCACATCTGGTGACTTTTAGTAGTGGCCAACAGTCTAGCCAGATCGATTTCATCCTCTCGAGAAGAGAAGATAGGCGTGCGTGCCTAGACTGTAAGGTGATACCTGGAGAGAGTGTTGTACCCCAGCATAAGCTGGTGGTTGCTGACTTCCGCTTACGGATTCGTGTCCAGCGGGATAAGCATGCCAAAGTCGCTAGAACAAAGTGGTGGAAGCTCAAGGGGCAGGTAGCTCAAGCGTTCAAGGAGAGGGTCATTAAGGAGGGCCCCTGGGAGGAAGGAGGGGATGCGGACAATGTGTGGATGAAGATGGCGACTTGCATTCACAAGGTGGCCTCGGAGGAGTTTGGAGTGTCGAGGTGAAGGAGAAGCGAAGATAAGGATACCTGGTGGTGGAATGATGATGTTCAGAAGATGATTAAATAGAAGAAAGATTGCTTCAACGTCTATAACTGGATAGGAGTGCAGACAACATAGAGAAGTACAAGATGCCGAAGAGGGCCACAAAGCGAGCTGCCAGTGAAGCAAGGGGTCGGGCATATGAGGACCTCTACCAACGGTTAGGCACGAAGGAAGTCGAAAGGGACATCTATAAGATGGCCAAGATCCAAGAGAGAAAGACGAGTGATATTGGCCAAGTCAAATGCATCAAGGATGGAGCAGGCCAACTCTTGGTGAAAGACGAGGAGATTAATCATAGATGGCGGGAGTACTTTGACAAGCTGTTCAATGGGGAGAATGAGAGTTCTACCATTGAACTGGATGACTCCTTTGATGAGACCAGCATGCGTTTTGTGCGGCGGATCCAGGAGTCTGAGGTCAAGGAGGCTTTAAAAAGGATGAAAGGAGGCAAGGCTATGGGCCCTGATTGTATCCCCATTAAGGTGTTGAAAGACCTCGGGGACATAGCGATAGTATGGCTAACCAACCTTTTCAACCTTATTTTTTGAGCAAACAAGATGCCAGAAGAATGGAGACGGACTATATCAGTACCAATCTTCAAGAACAAGGGGGATGTTCAGAGTTGTACTAATTACCGTGGAATTAAGCTGATGAGCCATACAATGAAGCTATGGGAGAACTTGGTCATCTACAGTACCTTTCATGAATCTAAAACAATAGTCAAGATAGATGGCAATGGTATTCTTAAGCTATATCCATCCATACAAATAAAGATTTATTCACATTCAAGCCCTCTGATTAGGTGGGATGTTTGCCTCGGATGATTCTATGTATGGTGTAGTATGTCAACTATGGCTAGGTTTATTGGTCCGGAGTCGGTTGGTAGATGCATAAAATACAGAAGGCCTAGCTATTTACGTAACAGAGTGCATGTCTTGTACCCTGAAGTGGCCATGCGCCCTATATTGCCGGTGAACTTCGAGTAGCAGGCTTGGACAGCTCTATAGTGGTTGGGCCTCTTATGTACACCCTAGCTACACCTCGGGGGCATGACATTGCCAGTATCCCCCTAAGTCTTCAAAGTCGCACCTACTAATCCTTTGACTACTCTTCATCCGAAGTGAGGTTCAACGTTGTTATCAGACTGCTTACACCTTTGTCACCGATCAAGGGCGTTCAATTTCCATCTCTCAACTCACAACAGACAAATCCCTAACTATAACAACATTTATGGACATGCTACAACCCCACACGCATCCGCCCACCGCCAACGTTCTTCTTCTCCAAATTCCGCAACCGTTCGTTTATTTTGCCAGACATGTCTTGAAGAGTAGGCCACTCATCCTATATTCCTATGTTGTACTGAACAATAATGCTACATTGTACTGCAATAGTGGCACCGTCCTATGGTGCCGGGAAGCACGATGACAAGCATTTATATAAATGTGAGCAACTACTAGGTAAGTTACACAGTCATCAAAGTTGCATTGCATCAAAGCATCAACAAAATCATCAAAGTCTAGGCACTCACATAAGTAATTAATGGTCAAGATTGAACGTCATGGGCTGCCACACATGGTTTGGAACTTTGGATGGGTACTCCATGATTGTGCCTGCTGGATAAGGAAGGAGAGAGAGAGAGAGTGAGAGTGAGAGAGAGAGAGAGAGAGAGAGAGAGAGAGACTGATTGTAGGTTAGTTAATGCTCTTGGAAACAGAGAGGGGAGAGATGACCCTGGAACGGCTGGCCTGAAAGAGATGGCACATGAACCCATGCATGATTGACGTGTCGACGCATCATGCACAGAGCCATGGCACAAATAATCGTCTATTTTTCTTCCTTTTGCAGGAGACAATGTTTAGTAAATCTGCAAACATTCTATCTTATGGTTGCTTTCTTTGTAATAACTGATGGAACCTCTAATAACAATGTTATCGTTATTTTAGTCATTTGGGAAGATAAACTATCATCAGCCACTAGACACTGTTTTGGGTAGGTATATATAACATTTTGCTTATTTTATTTTTAAGAGTTTTGATTATTTGTGTTTGTTGTCTATATGCTTATTTTGGATTTGTATTTATATTTTTACAAGGGTTTTGATTTTTTATTTTTTATGCATGTAGTGTTTTTGTTTATTAGGCACAAAAAGTATTTTTTGTGCAATTACACCTTTGTATGCACTTGCGTCATCTTTTTACATACTTCAAAACGGTTGCCTGTGTTTGGCAAACACAATCGATTTGTGGAGCGCCATAGAGGCATGTGTTTCCGTAAAAAAATAAGTAGTCGATTTGTGGACCATACTATATTTCTATTTTTAGCATTGTTCAAGAATTCATCCGATTAATCAGGTAACAGGCCAGTTAATCACCACTCGTAGGGTGGCCGAATTGAATAACACCTATTCATCGTGTTAACTTGTTAGGCCGATTAATTGGCGTGTCAGACCGATTAATCGGTTGTTAGGCCGATTAATCGCTGCTGGTCCGTTAACTTACGGGCAAACAAAGCTCAAAATTTTGGCTCGTAGCCCCTC